GAATCCATCTAGTAAATTCCTTTATTTTGCGTAAGAGCCACATTGAAGCCTAATGAATCTGTCCTTTGGCTAAGCTTGCCAGCTGGTTGGCTGAAGAGCTAGAACATCTGATCTTCTCACCAGGAAAAAGGCTTCCTTACTACAGCACATATTTTCTACTCTTCATTTCCTTGTAATTTAAACTTTTTAAGTAATTTAACTCTTGACATCAGCTTATTTTAAATCTCGCCTTCACTCCATGTTTCTTCTCACCCTGAAAACTAATCTCATGGAAGTATAACAGCCAGTAAATATGGGATAGAAAACTTAACGGAAACTAATAAGTAATGAAAAACTCCTCAGTATGTGGTAAAAGTCATTTCCACTTTTATAAATAAGAGCTCTTTTAAACAGTTTTTTTTAACCTTTGCATACAATTTTACAAGAAAGATAAATTTATTACTTATTTATGAATATTCTTAACTACTACCTTGTCTGCTTATTGACTGTTTTACCATTTGCATATGTCATAAAAAAAATCTTTAAATATAAGACTATAATGTGACGCAGCTTCTACATTAAAATCATAAAAGTCGTATGTGCACAAATAATTTATTTTTTAATTGCGATCCCATCCCTTTAAAAAGTAAAATGGCATAGTAGGGTACTTTGGATTCTTAAATAGTGAAGCATGAAACACTGATCTGTAAAAGATCTCAAATATAATTACTGTTCCCCAATTTTAACAGCCTGAATGTAACAATGTTTACATAAAATATTTAGTTAATTTACCAGAAACTTCAAATATAATTATAGTAGAAGGGGTAGAAGGTATGAAAGAACGTACCTATTCAAAGAAAAACATGTCAATATTTGTAGCTCCTGGAAGAAGATAGAGGGATGACCCATTAATGTATCCAGATTTTTGTTTTCTCTTAAGACTGTATTTATAAAATTTATTTACCTCAGCCTTGGGAAAATTCTCATTTTCCACTTATATATAGAGTTTGGCAACTTCTCAATTGTCTTCAATTATCAATGAACCAGTTTTAAATATTAATTTGATGTGTTCTTTGTAACCACTGATTTTATAACTCAATTATAATAAAATAAGCACATGGGAACATTAATATTTAAATTTCACTATGCTCACATGTATGAGTTAAATCGGTTTAAACTAATTCGAATTCTGTGATGACTCTTTTGCTAGGTGACTATGTCCTTTGATTCATATCCATAATAAAAATCATTAAGGAGATCTGGGATTCAAATCCCTTACTGGAAATGTGTCTATTTCAGGACACATGTTTAGTCTAAAATATAAATTTCTATTTGCATTTGTCTCAGTAATAAAATTTAATTATTATTTCAAACTGTTTTTACTCCATGAATTTTCAAAATATAAAAATAATTGTTTCCATCCCACTTGAATTAAGTTCTTTACTTTCTGATTATTTGCCATCTCTTTTACAAAGATTTTCTAAAATACAAGTTCATATGGATTAGCAAAGCATATAGATAAAATGGTACTTGATTTTCAGCCCTATTTTCTTCATCCTATGTTGTCTGCTTGCATAATTTTCCAATGGCTGGTATCTGATACATCCATCTGCCTGATGTGTCTTCTTAACTTTGAATCCAGAACTCAATTTAACTTCTAGTCTTTCTTGGATTATATTTGAGTTAAAGGTAAGACTATATTCTTTTTCTTTCTGTCCCATATTTTTGTTCTTTCTATGAGAACTCTAAAATTGTCTATCAGAGGAACAATAAGGAACTTACTCTTCGTGGGAGGAACTTACTCTTCGTGG